TGAAGACTCATAGCTGGCACAGAGGCAGGACGAGATGGGCAGCCAGCAGCCGGGAGGGGCATCCCAGCCAGCCAGGGTGGGCAGAGGCACGCTTGGCTCAAGAGCTGTCCCCACGCCCCGCAGGCACCTTCATCGGCATGCCAAGAACATGGCATCACCCCATGAGCACAGCTTTAATACCATGGCACCCCTCCCGCATTGGTACACATATACAGTCGCTGTATACAGATATACACAGAGAGCAGAGGTACATACGGGCACCGTGGAGGCCCCTTGGCAGCCCACAGCCCCCCAAAGTGGTGGAGGGCACGTCCCCACTCAGCCCTGGGGCTGGCGGGGGGCAAGGGCTGTGTGCCCACAGGAGCCGATGATCGCTTTCATGAAGCCTTTGAGGGCGAGCGTAGGCGAGCAGGAACCTCCTCTAACATAGCACCATCCTCAGGGTTTCCCTGACAGGCTGGGGGGGGAGGGGGGACCCCCCCGGACTAACAGGCGTGCTGCTGGCAGGCATGCGAGCTGGAGGGTAGTGCATGGAGAAAGCCTCCGGCCTCCCCACAGGTTTTTGCCAAACCATCACAGCCGCAAAAGGGGAACCAGGCCCCAGTTGTGGTTAAGGTGAAATTTATTCAGATGGAGACAGTTGTAGGGTGGGGGGTGAGGGATGCTGTGCAGGAGCACTTGGCACAGGGATGTGGGCAGCCCCCCCGGCAGACAATGGGGAGCAGAAGGGGATTGGGGGTCTGTGGAGAGGCATGGTGTTAGATGAGGAAAGGGGAGCCCAGTCATGCCAAGTCGCAGCTCCACTTTCAGGCCACTGGAGAGGGGGCATGAGGCCAAGAGCCATCCCATCAGCAGCAAATAAGTTAAATTATCAAACTGGGAACAGCCCAGGAAACCTCTGAGTGGGAAAGGGGATTAAGAGCCTTGGAGGAGGGTTCCCATTTGATATAAATTCACCTTAACGGGCAATAAATTTGATACGAAAGGAAAAACCCATGAGCAGCAAAAAGACACGTTAGAAATAGCACCAGGTTCCTGCTGGGGGCTGGGGGGCGTGCAGCCCCCACCACCGCAGGCATCTCAGCCCTGGCCAGGGCAACAGCCGGGCCCTGCCACCGGGCATCCCTGCCTGCCGAGACACAGCCCACACCTACGCCTTCGGCTGCCCTCCCGCCACACCGCCGGCAACACTGTGGGCATCTGCGGAGAGAAGCGAGGTGGTGTCAGAGCCAAGGTGAGGGACCAGCATCATCCCCCCAAGTGTTCCTTGGCTGAGCCCGCAGCACCAGGTGGGGATGCTGCTGGACCTGCCGGTGCTGTGCCGTGCCTACCTGCCCCTGGGTGCTGCCTGCAGCGTAGCTCACACTCCTCCTTGCTGTCGAAGCGGTTGAGGTTGCCCCGGCAGCCGCTGTAGACGAAGGGCCGGCACTCGGCGACTCTTTGGTTGTAGTACCAGCGCAGCGTGTAGCGCTGGCAGTCCCCCTCATCCAGCGGCAGGCTGCAGGGCTCAGCTGCGGGGGCAAACGGTGATGGTGAGGGCAGGCAGGAGCAGGCAGCACGCTGGCAGAGAGGCAGCCGGACCAGCTTGGCAGGAGGGGAGAAACTCCAGAAGGAGAAGGCAGGGGATGGCTCTCAGCTAAGCGTGGGAAGGGCTTGGCTGGATGGGACATCTCCCTACCCTGCCCAAGTGCTGGGAGCGAGGGCAGGAGACGCTACTCTGGGCAAGCCCTCTCCCAGGGGCAGCTCCCAGCTGGAGACAGAGCTGGGAGGGAGGTGGCATGAGGACATGACGGTCACAGCATCCCTTGGAAGGGTACCAGAGAGACTCTGCATGCTGCTGCTGCCAATGGGGTTTCCCTGCTCTCCTGGGGGCTTTGGTATCCCCTCCTGCAGCGCATGACCAGGAACACAGGAAACCTGCCAAGGGCAGCAGGTCCCACCGTCCCAGCAAACCACCATTGCTGCTGGTGACAGCTCCAGTGAGGGGAGCGGAGCGTGAGGTCTGCACGGTGTGTGGCACAGTGCTGTGATGTGGGATGCACACCCTGCCCGCGTGACAGTGAGAGGGCTGCAAATCCCCAGCCAGCAGGCACAGGGACCCTCTTCCAGGTGGGATGTAGAGGCATCAGCCCAGCAAAGCCCAGGCAGCCCTGCGGTCACTCCCAGTGGCTCCATCCTCGGTGCCAGGCGGGCACAGGGATGCTCACCATCCATCATGGGCTGCTCCGAGCTGTCCATCTCCGGGATCTCATCATAGTCCTCCTCCTCCCCATACACACTGTCGTACTCCAGGTCACTGGTGTCATCGGTGCCGAGCATGACCCGCCTCTCCTGCCCTGGGCGACAGCACCGGATGTCAGCAGCCCTTGCCTCCCCCTCTGTCCCCTCCATCCTGCTCTCCCCAGCCATGGCCCCGGCTCTGCACATGCTTGCACGCACACAGCACATGCCTGTACATGCCTGCATGCACACACGCATGCACACACTCCCTCCGCTGCGCTCTCCTCTCTCTGCTCTTTAATTGAAGCCCCCTGGGACCAGCAGCATTGCCACTGGTGGATTATCCCTCCGTGCATGCCAGCGGAGAGCCAGGACATGACAGACCACACACATGGAGCAGGGGAAAAGGGGGACGGGGACTAAAAACATAGGGATGACACTCACCCTCCTCTTCCTCGGCGTGTGACAACTTGAGCACAGGGACTTTGTGAGCGCTGCCAGCAGAGAAGGGCTGGGTGGGGAGGAGCCCTGCAAGGGGGAAGGACGTGGCACAGGCATCAGGAAGGAGGTGAGGGGACCTGGTGGCTTCCCCACCACCTCCCATGGGAAACCACCCCTTGCAGGTGTGGAGAAGCCCAGCACTGCCCCAGCACTGGTGCAGCTCGCCAGGGTACACAGGCAGGGTATCCCTCCCCTCCTCTCTCCACAGACCAGGGATGCCAGGGGCTCCTGGGGGAGGGACAGGCAGGAGGAGGTACTGCCCAGGGAGACAGCACCTGCTGGGAGCCCAGCAGGATGGGGATGGGGATTAGCAGACACACATGCCCATGGGGCCAGATCTTGTGGGTCCCCCGGGTCTCCATCACCTGTTCGGCCATGCTCCCTCTCCTGGCGGATGCTCCTTCCTCCTCCCTGGGCAGAGTGGAAGCTGCTCCTGGCCTGAGTCCCCCAGCCTCCTTGGAGAGAAAGCACCTACCTCATCCCAGCCCACCCCTTGTCCCCATCCCCCAAACCCAGTCCTTCAGCCCACTCTCCTCTCCAGCAGTCCTGGCCCCTGCAAGCCCGCCCGCCCTGTCTCCAGCACCCCAGCACAGATGGGGCGCAGTCCCTGTGGTCCCTTCTCGATCGGGCAGACCCTGGCAGTGCCCGGACCATACTGTCACCATCCCGAGCCGGCTGCCCCTGGGGAATCCTACTGCCCCATCGCTTCTCCCACGCAGCATCCCTCCTCCCTGAGCATGGTCATATGCTGATGCCAGCCCTGACAAAGGAGGGTCCTAGATGTCTCCATCCCTCCCAAAACTGGCGGCACACCTGGGTGCTGGGACCCCCTTAGTGCCACCCGCGCAGGGCAGAAGCAGAGGGTAGGAAGGGAGAGCTGCAACCTGAGTGCTCACGTGAATCCAGGTGCCGTGGGAAGTGGCCGCCGCAGGCTGTGGGAAAGATGTGGGAAAGATGGGGCAAGGGGTCAAGGGCAGCAGGGGCCAGACCCCCGGCCCTGGGGCGGTACAGTGGGGGATGCTCACCACAGTGCTGGTTCATCTCCTGCCTGACGAAGGCACGGATCTCCTCCTCCTGCCAGCCACGTGAAAGGACGAAGAACCCCCGTCACAACAGGGAATGGGACAGTTAGGGAGGAGAAACACCCTTTCCCCAGACCAACCTGCTGGAGCAGGTTCTGGCAGGGGCACACACCCCTCCATCAGCAGCGGTGGGACAGATCCAGCGCCCCATCCCACCCTGGTGACCTGAGCACCACGAGCCTGTGCCAGCTCCCTGCTGGCTCCTTACCGTCATGCCCGGCTCCCCCTTCTCCCCACGGAGCCCCTGGGTGCCAGGAGTGCCCTAGGGACAAGCAGAGGGGAGGTGGGAGGCTGGTGCTGCCCGGGGCTCACCCACCCATGGCCGGGCACCCGCTCACCTACCTGCTCTCCTCTCTCGCCGGGGATGCCGGGCACGCCACGAGCCCCTGGCACCGACTGACCCGGGGGGCCTCTCTCCCCCTGGCAAAGGACACGTGCTCAGGGTCTGGCTGGCAGGTGCTGCTTTGCCCATCCCTGCACCCAGGGGACCGCAGGTGTGGATGGGAACAAGGACAGGTCCAGTCCAGCCCCAGGGCAAGCAGGGTCCCAACCCCCAGGCTCCCATCCCCTGAGGGGGGGGACACAAGGGAGGACCCCAAAGCCAGCGAGCTGGCAGGGCAGGGACAGAGCTGGAACACGGCTCCTGATGCCCACGCTCTCCAGGGACAGGGCCACCCACGCTGGGGACTCACCTTCTGGCCCTGCATGCCCTCGGGACCTCGGGGGCCAACACTCCCTGGGGGCCCGGGAGGGCCAGGAGCACCATCACTGCCCCGGGGACCAGGGCCACCGATAACACCGGGAGCGCCCTGCGGGAGAGCAGAGGGTGAGGCTGGGGGTGTGGGAGCCCCTGGCTCCAGAGCAAGCACCACAGGCATCCCCCAATGCTGCAGCGGGGCATCCCCGAAGCACCGGCGCCTTCTTGTACAGAGCGGGGA